CTAATCTTCTTATATGCCACACCTGAAACTAGAAGTCTTTAACATTAACTTCTAAGTGTACAGTTTTCAAATGCAAACAGATAATTGAAGATTTGCAAGCCAAATGGTGACTTTGGTGAGCAGATTTCCATTTTTTCTCAGCCGTATGTCTTTTGCAAGGTTAAAATTAAGGCCTTTACAAATAAGACAGAGTTAGAGAAGCTCAAGGAAGGGGTGTCCCTAACAGCATAATTAGGGTGTCCAACAAAATAAGTTTGAGGTTTTTTTCTCATCATATTTTTTTAGGGACAAGCATGGTTCTTCTTATCAGAAGCAAATGTACACCTGACCCCTGTGCACAATAGACCCCAGGGTCCCTCTGAAGGGAAGAATGTGGCGTAAATCAGTTGTCAAGTGAGCTTTGTGAAGGGAAAAGAAACTTGTGAATGGAAAAGAAAACCATTTCTCTTGAAAGTTGAGGATGCCAAAATCTACACTTTCCTGAGAGAAAAATATTCACATTATAATTTTACATTTACCAGAGACATGATCCAATGTTTTCAATAAATATTGAATTTATACATTTGAATCATAACTTTTTAATCATGACAGACCTTTGAAATTTTGTGTATTTTAGAAGAATTGAATGCTGAACTTTCTACTTCAGCATTTACATTTATGAACCATACTTAACGTAAATGCTGAAATATCCAGTAACGGGTCCTTAATGTCACTGGTAAGAAACCAGTTCCAGATTACAGGTGGAAATTAACAAAGAAGGTGGGAGAGTCTGAAGTTTAGAAGTACAAGAAGGAGAGACAAAACTTAGTTCCAGATGTTTTATAGACCTTTCTTTTCTGCGATGAGTCCTCCCTAGTATATAATTATTATGTATTAAATGATGTTAGTATTCATCCGCTCTCTTTCCTGGTGTGTTCTTACATTCTCTGGGAGCATTCATTTTAAAGCTTCAGTTATGGGGACTGATATAAGTTTAAAACATTTACTTAATATCACTTTCAAAAATGTTCAGAAACCCTGATTAGCAGTTGACCATTATAATTACTTCTCAGTTAGGTAACAGAACTTGCAGGGACTATTATCTGTCGCCAAGTCACGATCAATATGCGGACTTAGCGCCTCTCGGGAAATTTCTTTCTTGTACCTGATTGAAAATTGGAGGAAAGAACTTAATGGCATGTTAAGGGGTTACATTTTAGACAAAGATTTTTTTCCCCAGAATGTTACAAGTCCTTGACTATCATGCCTTGGCATCTGCTGATTTGAGTAGGGGAACTTGCTAAGCATGGAGGTAAAAAAGGAAGTTACTTTTTACTTCAAGGTTTCCAACTTTCTGGCAGAAATCTCGAGAACATTTCTCTTAGTTCTATCTTTGGGCAAGGCCATTTCGCTAACATTTCTTCTCTTTTTTTCCTGACCTTTTACATCAATGTCAACATACTCTATCCATCATTTCATCCTCTCTTGTCTTAGGGTGTAAATCAAGACCTGCAAAATTGTTTAATACAGAAACAATTGCCCTGGAGTAAAAGGGAGCTCTTCTTTCTTGAAAGGCAGAGGAAGATGATGTTCCTTAAACTCCTATAGGTAATTTTAAAAAGAGAAAAAAGAAACAAAATATGAATATATACACTTAATTTATCTAGACTTATATTTTCCTTCAAAATTTGCTGGCTGAAATGTAAAAAAGTACATATGGGTAGATTCAGAACAAGTGAAATGCTGCACTCAGATGTGGTTTGAGCTTTGGCATTTTATATTTGTGCCTTTTGGAAAGACTTTCTGTAGGACTCTGGCTTTGGTATGAACCCACGAAATATTACGGTTCATATGTTCATCCATAATCACCTAAAAAAGAGCCAACTATTGTCTTAAAATCAAGCTAAGTTGTATTTTCTTATGAAACCCATTTACGTGGGATCATGAAGAGTTCAGATAGGCCACCCAAGTTAAGGTTAGAGCTTAAATATCAGGATAAGAATCTCCTTAACCTGTTTTCTTAATGATAATTTTCACTGTTTGTCTGTGTCTGTAGACTTACAGTGTTAGTCTGTTGTTACAGCTTTTCTCAAGTGCGTATTGTCTGCGTTGAAAACAGAACCAGTGATGCGATCTCCCATGACAAAGGCAACATGATGTCTGGATATCATATTACGTACTTTCATCACATGCAGTGACTATTTTATGCTTAATTGGACATTGTTCATGTTTCCATTTTTTCTAGTTTGGTAGAAGTGTGTTGGTCAAAATGGACAGAAATGAATTCAGACAGAGAGTGGGTCTTTGTAAGTCTCTGTGTGTTCTCTGTGGTGACAAGGTCACCTTGCTTCCTTCCCAGTTCTGACAGCACATCTGTGTGACTTTGGACTAGTCATTCTCCCCTCTGAGCCCATGCTTCCTAACAACTACAATGAGTTAGCAATTTTATTTCTTTCAGGATTGTGAGGAGAAAATGGGGAGGGAAAATATAGGAAAGGGCATGAAAAAAATGCATGATGGAAGTAAGCGTCACATGAGACCTTCTGCCAGGGAGCCCTGAAGGACCTTCAGAGAAATGTGAGGTGCTGGAAGGCACCCCTGGACGGACGTCAAGTTATCATAGACCCGATTATATTTGGTTAAAAAGAAGCAGGGAACAGGCTGCACAACCCTACAGAACACATGGCATTTCATATGAATTGTGGTTCCTGGAGCTCTGAAATACTCACAATGTTTTCTTGTGGGTGATGCCATGTACATACTCAGAATAAAGGGTTATTGGTTTTGTCCCTGGGAGTGGGGCCTTTGGCAGAGAATAGGAGTTTCATATGTTCCTATTCAATTCTATCATGTCACTACAAGCAAACAGCAGGTCTGTAAGCTTAGGCTAGTAAGATAAATATTAAGTTAAACAATTTTAAAACATATTGTGGCATTTTTGGATTCATTCAGGATAGAAATTAAGATTTGCAGGAATTATCTATACACTAATTCTAACTCTGTGTTTTTTTTTGTATCTAAAAATTTAGTCTATTAAATCTACCCTAATCAAGTCCTGCTTATTCCAACCAAATATCCTCAGTGGAAGTATGAGGCAGAGAGGGGAATTAGAAAGTGAGCTTAATAAATGTACATTCATTTAGACGTTAATGGTTTGAAAATGCATCTCAAGTCCTAGCTATTGAGCCAGAAAGTTTTCATCACCATACTTACATCTTGCCTGAAGTCTTTTTCTCCATGACAACTCACTCAAAATAATCATTGGTCCAGTAAACTATCCGTATTTTTGACTATTTGCCAAGAAAGATTTTCCAGAAACTTCTTATTTCTGTCAAAGATGAACAACAGCCAGGTGGCGCTAGAGACAGTGGAGGTAAAACAGGTTGTTAATTCAGCCACATTCTGTAAATGAGTATTAATTATTTTGTGTGAAAAACAAGAAGAAGGAACTATAACATGTCTCATTCTAGTATTTGGAAATAAGGTTAAAGTTCAAGCCTTTACTTGACCTGAGATGGCATAACTTTTGTGTCTCACAGATATAATCTGAGACACAAATTCCCAGGACAGAAGGAAATCTATACTGTCTGGCCTGGGAGTTGACTATTGAAAACCACTTCCAAACTGTTAAGAATCAGAGGTATTGGGCAACTCCAATGATTTATTTTGTTAATCCCTCAGAAATACTACCAATGGCAAGCTCTTTGAGAATAAGTATTACATTCTCTAGATTTTCAAAATGTCATTCTAAATTTGTAATAGATCATGAATTGTACAGGATTTCTCTAAGTAGCATGGTTGATTGCCTTCATGATCAAAGACGGCCTGAAAAACACCTGAAGGGCACATATGGAAGGCTACCCATCCAAGAGAGCAGTGCTGGGTCCTATTTTGTCTTTTAGTTCACTGCTCCACGCTAGGGTATGAGACAGCAGGTTGCAATAATCATAATCCTCCTTCCATCATCTGACCTAGTTAAAATAGAGAAATATCTGTCTCAGGCACATTCAAACAGAACATTCAGGATGTGCTTGTACAGGCATTAAAAATTACATCAACCTGTTTTATAGTGCCATAAATCTAAAACCGTTGCATATTGTATATGCTTAACTTTTTCCTTGCTAGATAAAATAATCTAGTAATTCTCAACCAGATGTGATTTTTACTTCCCAAAGGACATTTGACAACATCCGGAGACATTTTTGTTTGTCACAGCTGGGGGCAGAGGGACAACTGACATCTAGTGAGTAGAACAGGGAGGCTGCTAAAACATTACACAACCACAAGAGCGTCTCCACAGCAAATTATTCAGCTCAAAATGTCAGTGAGGCCAAGGTTAAGCCTGTTGACCTGAGCCTATACTCCTTTAGAAACGAATATGATGTGAGAGAGAGATACGCCCCCGGACCTTCTCAGGGGTCAGCAGTCAAAAGAATGTGAGACAAAAATATGTTGAGGCACTTTGCAAAGGTGCTAGAGTGAACATTTCCCTTTAAATGGCACTATGGCACTTCACAGATGTAAAACGGTGGTCACTTGTCTTTCTGAGAATAAAATAGAGCTTTAGCAGACAATAACTTGATTGTTCTAAAGGTCAGGAAGACCTTAAGCTATCCCTTTGGAAAAAAAAACAAAAACAAATACATGCTTTGAGAAGACCAGTGAAAAGAGTGGATTCATAAACACAACATAACAGTCAAAAATGCCTTCCATCTATTACATATTTCACATTCAAGCATTTTCTGAAAATAAAAGTAGGAAGAATTGCATTTGCTTTCAGTTGTTAAATACATCATTTTAGGAATTCTGACAAGAACAGAGCCTTCCAGCCACAATCAAATGGCTTGATTTATCTTACTTTTTAAAATTTTGGTAAGAGTAGGTATTAAGCATTTTGTAATTGTTTTGGGAATTTTAAAGGTTATTGAGTTCTGAATAACAGTCTCTCATGTTTTCCCACCAAACTTTTCCCAGCAGTGAATATATCTGGATCTTATTCTGGTGTTTTATTCTTTTTTTAGCTTCCTGAAATGACTCATGTTCAAACACGGCGACCCTGGTTGATGTTTCTCCTGCAGAATTTTGGATTGACCCTAGGCTGGCTTTCTCTGTTACTCTTGGCTATATATGAACAAAATATTACAATATAAGTTAAGAGTCTCAAAATCCTTCAAAAATGAATTTAAATGGTCTCATTTTTATTTCTTTTGTTGTACTCTATAGTGACTTGTAAATTAAGTATTTTTTTCATCTAGGTAAAGTGTGTGTCATAGTTCATTAACATATTAATTTTATAATGCAATTTTGTGTTTGTGGTGTATATATGTCAGGTTGTCCTGAAATGGAATTTTGTTATTAGTCTCCAACACTGTCATGGAAATCATACCTTTTTTTAGTTATTAGTAAATTCCAAATTAATTTTGGCAAATTTTCAAAAAAATGGCATTTCCTTAATAAAGAATGTTTGTCTATAATATTTGAAGTGGCCTGTTGGGATACAATTTGCTGCAACTTCCTTGATGTCAATAACAATTTTTTATGTGAGATTATAAACCATAAGCAAACTAAATTCCAAATAAACATAATAAAATTTAGTCTTAATGTGATGTTTGTTTTACCTTCCATTCATGGGTGTCAGATTCTGAATTAACCTTCACAAAGCCGATATGGTGTGGTTCATCTTGAAGCATTTCCCACTGGCTTGTAAATGCTCATAAATAAGCATAATAAATGCTCACAAATAAGACCTGGGAGGCCCGAAGGGTAATATGTCAACATTCTTCTATGTAATCACCACAAGAAATCTGTTCTAGGCAAGGAGAACTAGAAACAAAAGATAGAGCAAAAAACTGCTAAAATAACAAAGCTTAAGTCAAGTGGTAGATTAATGGGCCAGCTCACACAGATTTAACAGAGTGTGTTTATGGGAATAATATTACTGACAAGTGAGATATATTTTATACTCTTTCTGAGGAAATAAACCCCTAAACATTATTTCAGTGGACAAGTTCATGAAAGTACGAGCAACATAACTGATAACCTAGCCAGAATTATTGACATAGAGAATAGACTTGGTTTTAGTCATTTTTCTTGGAAAATAGATGCCTGGTATTTTTCTTATTTTTTCATGATACATCTTGACAAGAGAAAAAGCCCCTTTTCCTGCCCATATGGCTCACGGCACTCAAGCCAATGCACCTCCGCTACCTCTTCCTCGGCCCAGAAGGCAGACAGCTGTGCCCCATCCCACCCCACCCGGGCTTTGGGCTTTGTCAACAACCTTTATTTCGTTTCCAAATGAGGTGGGCTTCTTCTTCCGTTGCTTTTAGAGCTTGCTTTTAGGGGCCATCATGAAAGTGAAGTAGTTCTCAAACATTGTCATACACTAGGATTAACTGGTGGATTTACTAAAATACAGACTGCTGGGCTTCTTCCTCCTGGGAGACTGTGATTCTGCAGGTCTGGGGGGAAGGGCTGAGACCTTGCTTTTGAATAACTTCCAGGTGGTACTGACGCAGCCGCGGCTGGTCCCACAGGTGTGGTGGAAGTCAGGTGCGCCTGGCTGCACGGAGGAGCACGCACACCACGCAGCCGCCTGGGGCTCTGTGATTGTGATTAAACCTCTCACTAGACCTGAGTTCCTAGTTTGAAATTCCTTCCCTTGGTCCCCTTGCCTTTGAGCACCAGATGTATCACAGGAGTTACTGGATGAGGACTAGCATACACACATTTGCCTCGAAAGGTAAGCAGACCTGACACAGGGAGCTTCGCCCTCTTTTGTCAGAGAATAATAACTCGTAGTCAAACAAAGACGCCGTTGTGTCCGTCTGCACGAGGTGCAGGTTGCATAAAGCAGCACCTGGCGCCCTCTGCGTTTGTGTTTCTACGAACAAGTTCTGACTTTAACATTAAGCCTTCATTTAAGCCAATTTAATTAGAAAAGCTCTAATGATAACTACGTTCCAAGTTCCAGTTTAGAGTAGTTTGGAGCTAGCTAAATTAAAATCTGTGACGTGAGCTACTCGACTTCATAACCTTCAAGTTAGGCGGGTTTAGTTAGTTTGCCTCCTCAGCTGAGGTTGTGGGCAGGGATCAGTGGCCGCCGGGAGGAGGTGGAGCGACATCGTCAGCGAGCGAGCACTCTGCAAGCCAGTGTCTAGTGCGCTCTGACGGTAAGCAGAGCCCTGGCCATGACAGGTCCTCTGCAGGGGTCGTCCTAAGAACAGTGTGATAGAGAGGCTCCCAAGGGCGCCTTTCTCTGCCGACCACTGCTCCCTCGTGCTACCTTAAAACAGGCTCTTCACTAATCGATCCACCTCGCGTGGATTTGTTTGCGTCTCCAGGCCAGCCACCCAACAGCTGCAGCTGGATTTCCAGCCACCAACCCCCTTAGTATTGCTAGAAATACGCTTTTCCTCAAAATTGAATGGAAATAATAGAAATATTTTCACAACTATTTGCCTTCTAAATACGGACAGAGTCTAAATTTGGGATGGCTGAACATCATCATCCCATTAAATCATCTAAATTCTGTGTCACTCGCTGAGCTTTGGGGTAAATGGTGTTTGCCTAGAAACCAGATTTCTCAATAATGAGGGAGTATTTCTGTCTCGTAGGACCAAATTTAGGATTCTTGTGTATTTCTACCTGGTGATTGATTTTTATTTAGTCACTGAACTAGAGATGGTCCTGGAGAAAAATCAAAGAGCAAATCGCACAGAAATCTTGTTTGAACATCCGTCACCTCCGACAGGGCCATTTTTTGGGAACAGGACAATTGCACCACGGCACTGGGAGGGTGAACACAGGGCCTGGGAAGGTGGTTCCACTGCTGTGCACTGACCAGGGCCACGATGGTACGGAAATGTGCCCATGAAGTACGGCCCACGGTACCCCTCCGCCACCCCGCCCAGGACCCAGAATTTCCAGGCGAGAGTGTGCCTGTCTCTGCAAGACACACCTCTCAGATCACTGCTCATTTCCAGCCTTCTTGTTCAAAGCTGCAGTGAAAAGTTGGATCACAGGCTGCTAATCACTAGGGTGGACTTGAGGCTTTTGTGAGATCATTAAGAATTTAGGCTCTGAACTAAATGTTGGTTCAAATCTCAGGGATGCCGCCTCACAGCCCTGTAACTTGTTTGAACAATAATTTCTTTTCTGTGAAATGAGGTTAAAAATAGACTCTGCCTCATAGGATTGTGGTGAGGACAAAATGGGAAAAGTGCTCACAAAGCACTCAGTACAATGCCCGGAAAATCTTGATGGCTCAATGAATATTAAATCATCAGTGGTGCCCTCCTTTTTTCTTAAAATCTCAGTTTCATAGTTCCCCTCTCAAGATTCTACCTTGAGTATTTGAAATGTCTTCTTGGTGGAGAATGGATATCAAGCCTCTTTCTGTAACTCTAATCCTCTCCTGAAGACTCCAACCCAGCCCCTACTGTCCTTAAAGTTTTTTCACTCATGTCCAGAGCCAGAGAGACCAGAGGGGGTGGCTCTGGTCGACCCTGCCCTGCCCAACTCCTGGGGAAGGCTTCATCCATGGCCACAACGCTTCCACTCAGTGTGAGCTCTTCCCTCTTATACTTTGTTTCTCGTAATAAACAAAGACCAAAGATTGGCATGTGTTCCACTCCAATCCACTTCTGAGGATGTGGAGGTTGAGTAATGGAACCTGATGGAGAGGAACTTTTCTGAGGTCATGGTTATTGTTACAACTTTATTTCAACTCAAGCAAAAAGTAGTTTGTTTCTGTTGTTGCCAATGCACCCACAGATGAAATGAACCGACTCTGAAAAGCAAGCAGCCCATCAGGCTAAACAGACGCCCTCCTGCTGGCGGCGCACGCAGCCTGCCCTGGTCTATCCGGAACACAAGTGCGTGTGCAGACCAGTGCTCCACCTCAGCTGGGCTGTACTTGCTTGCACTAGCAACCCCCAGCCCCTAGTGTGTAGGGATGGGCCTCACATTATAATGCTTTCACTTCCATAGGCACCTCTCAAAACCCAATTGAAATTCTAGGAAGTTTGAGAAACTAAAATCACTTTCCTAAATCAAAAATGACCTTACCCCACACGCCATTGTTCCTTTGAAAAACCTCTGGAATGGTTTGCACACCGTGCCACTCTCCCCCCTCCCCTGCCCTCCTTTCCACAGTGTTCCCGCCTCAAAGAGAGTGTCTCTGCCAAGTGGACTCCCCGTTGCCCCCGCGCCGCCCCCTGGGCCCCCACTACATATATACTTCTAACTTAGCTTTGCAGTCTCTTGTTTCTTGGAAGCTTTCTTTCATTGTATATTAACTCCCTCCAAAAAGGCTCTCCCTTTTTTTTTCCCCTCCAGAGATGGGTGCTTTGTCTACTGGAATCCACCTGGACTGCCATTGGTTCCCATCTGTCCCCTTAGCTTCCCTCATACTTGTGGACAGTATCTAGGATATCCCACTTATGGGTTAGGTGTGTCTCATGGATCTCAGCATTGCCCTTAACTATCACAACCTTACATAGTGCTGTACTGGACTGACATCAGAGGTTTAATTCAACTCTTTAATTTTATAGTGGTGACATAATAGCAAATATTTTTATAGCACTATGTGCCAGATATATTAAAAGTGCTTTATGAGAGTCATTTAATCCTGTTAAGAACCCTAAGAATGTAGATCTTCATCCCCTTTTACAGATGAAGATACTGAGGCCCAGGCAGGTCAGTTAACTTGCCCAAACCTGGCTGCAGAAACTGCATCCTAATCCTTGTACCACACAGCCTCTACGGTTTGGGGAGTCGAAATGGTTGCCAAAGCTCTTACCTACATAAAGGAGTCGACATTGGACTTAATTCAGATCTCTGACTTCCGGTCCAGCAATCATAACCATCTGCCATCCTCCCTGGTCCTGCCCAGTCAAAGCTTCTCACCTCTAAGGTCTCAGTCATTCAAGGCTGCTTTTACTTTTCTGGTTTATATTAGTTTCTCCAGTGAGGATCTAGCGTCTATTCAGCAAGTTTTAAAAACTGAGATATAACTGACGTATAACATTGTATTAATTTAGGTTTACAACATAGTGACCTGATATTTGTATATATTGTGAAACGACCACAGTAAGTCCAGTTAACATCCATCACCTCACGTAGTTATAACTTTTTTCTTGGAATAAGAACTTTGAAGATATGCTCCTAGCAACTTGCACACATATGACAGCGTATCGGTGACTGTCCTCCCCAGGCTGTACATTGTTGTATCTCATGACTCATTTACTTCATGACTATAGAATTTTGCCCCTTTCGACCACCTGCACCCATTTCTTCCCACCGCCACCTGTTCCTGCCTCTGGCATCCACCACTGTCTTCTGTGTATCTATGAGTTCAGCTTTGTTGTTGTTTGGGGGCCACATATAAGTGAAATCATAGGATGTGTCTTTTTCTCTCTGACTTGCTTAGCATACTGGCCTCGGGATACATCGGTGTGGTTGCAAATGGCAAGATTATCTTCTTGTTATGGATGAATAATATTACATTACACATATATTTTACGTAGGGTCCAGAGGCACCAGCCC